TGGCACAATGATTTTTTACGCTGAAGTCATAATTCATTTTAAAACTTGAACATTGAGAACATGTTCCGCGTTTTTTTATTATTTTTTTTTTGGTCATACAATATTTTTCGAATTTCTAAATGTACTAGGTCGTTTAAATTTTTTTGCAAATGTGAAAAATATAGCCGACGACGATGAGAAACTGAAAAGAGAATTTTTAGCTCGTTCGTCGAAACTAAACCAGCGGACGTGCTTTTCGGGCGAGAACCGACACAAGCCGCGAGACTATTACTGTCATTTCGCCAAGTCCGGGACGCGACGCCGCCGCCGGTTTCGGCGAAAATTTTGTTGACCCACAGGGTTTGCTTTGCCAAGAGAGATTATACCGCGATCTCAATTAACGAACGAAACTTTGCTAATTCGTTCATTTCACTGAAAGTTCCCTCGCTAAATCGTGAAGTACAGACTTCATAATCGATTTACCTTGCAGATTTTATTGAAATATATGTCGCGTATATTTCGGTAATTAAATGTCTTCTGGAGCAACCTATGTCTTTTAACGTTTCAAATATTATAAATCAAATATTAATATTCTTTACTTATGAAAACGATAACCACGTGTGAAATCTAATAGTGGAATCGCGTGCAGATATGGGGGTGGACAAAAATGAGCGATCATTTTCACACAGTTTAGAAATAAATTTGTCGAACTGGGGCGAGGGTAAATATTTCTACGATTGACTTTTTTCTCAAGAACTTGGCAAGGCAAAGCCCGAAATCATCGAGACAAATCGAAGGCTTAAACGCGGGAGGAGAAAACAAGAAACGACGAAATCGTGCGTTATTCTTAAAGGGCTAACGAGTGGAGACGTTACAAGAAAAGAACAAGACAAACGGAGAAAGAGAGACACACCGGAATAATAGAAAGAAAGAAAGAATCGAATACATAAGTAATTGAGAAACGAAAAACGTATATAAAGAATCGTGATTAACGGACGGCTGTCACGCAAGCTGACAGCTGCATGGAAATCAGATGAAGCGTGTTTTTTCCTTTTTGTTCAGCTCCAGACCTGTCGGTCGCATCATCCCCCTTTTCTTCCGTTGTCTTCCCGGCAACGTAGAATTTGAAGAATCGAGAATCGCTATTGGCGGCGGTCCACAAGCCGCCGCGCCGTGGCCTCGTTTAAAGTCACCCGTTCGATCATTCCAGCTATGCGCAACCTCGTATCTCAGTCAATAAACAAGTCGTCTATCCATTTTGAAAATAATAAATAAAAGCACATACTGCTCATTGATATAATTGTTCAAAAAAAATTTCATCTCTCATTTTTGAAAATTTTCTTACCATATTGATAATTTGAACTACTTCATATAAACTTGGATAGCAACTTTTTTATGATAATTCCTCCATAAAAATCATATTTGAAACTTAAACACGTTTCTCGTACGATTTCTGTTTAGTTGACTGAATTAGTATTGGTTTGACCAAAGAAGACATGTTTTATGCACATGGCAATTACACATTTTGCAACAATGAATTATTGAAATTTAACTTACTTATTGGCTGATAAATGTTGTTCTCAAATGAGGCGGGATAACAGAACGCGTGATCGAAACGTGACCGTACGATCTCGAAAATGCGAAATGACTCTTCGAATCGATCGTCACGAGAACGCAGAGGACGTCGAACGGAAAATCGTCTCGCGGTTGGAGCCGTAGATTGAATAAAAGCGATCTAATTCACGCTTTTGTCATTCGACAAGAGTACGTAATTAAAAAAACGAGTACCACATGATTGATGCATACATATTAAGTTGGTGCATACGAAACATTTTCTTTGAACACAGCAGATGCACTTTCTGTTTCATTTAAATAATTTATCAGTTACTTCTATATCTCGGTGAATCATTAAATGATTTTGAGCACGAATGATGATTATCTGAAACCTGTAAATTCTTTGATGACTCTTTTTGCATTTATTATTCGTTCCAGTGATATCTAATTTGTTTTCATTGTCTTTGATAAAGGACTCGTACAAAATTAGTCACTGCTTCAATTAAAATGTTAATAATTATGTTTCAATGTCTTCAAACAAAATTGCAATGTCTTTATTATGAGTCTGGCTGAAGTATGAATTATTTCCAATAAAATGATTTCATGTTTGCTTTGATTTATAATAGGCAACGATAAGAATGAAGATAGACTGGAAAATTTGAAAAATAGTATGCACCAACCTAATTTATACGTAGAAGTAATGCAATAATTGTACAGGATCGAGACACACGGTAGAGAGATCGAAGTACTATAGAACTCTATATAATACCCCGTAGTTTTATAGTACGAATACAGCCTTGTTCTTTGAAACCTTTAACTGTCGATACTTATGGAGTTGTTCCTTTGTTTTTGTATTAGGCGCGTGCATTAATTCGGTGCATTCAAGTTTACTCTAATAGCAACTATAGATTTCCTTACAAAAATCAATTTTTAATTTGTGAGAATATTTCACACGTCCAATGAGTTTTAGCATAAACTAATTTTTATCAATTCCCGTATTATTATTTATGTGATGCACTTTTAATATCCGTATGGTACTGAATTAATTTACACATTTAAAGCCTTGTTTGCGATGTTTCGTTTATTTCGTGTTAATTTTTGTTGGTTGTTTCGTTAGTTGTTTAAGTTGTACAATAATTCTCTCGCCGATTGTATTTTGACACTTTCGAGACGCACTGCTGCCACTCGTTGACGATATATGCTTCGCTCCATGTATGTACATACGCGTACATATATGAAACCCATTTTCCACCACTTCCTTTCCCTGGTGCCCTGATTGTTTAGCCGATGAGACTCGAAGTAGCGTTTTTTTGGAACGAATGCTTTCGACGATTGCCCACACGACCGTACGAGAGAGAAAACCTTTCCGATAGCGAGGAGCACTTTGCACTTTCGTCAGTGTACAATTTTCCGTTCACTTGTTTGTTTCTTTTCCTTTCGATTAGACGGTCAAATCTCCGCGCGCGAGGGGTATCCGTCGAGCCACGCGAACACGTAGACGAGTCTAACTGAACCACGGGATTACTATTTAAAATACAGTTTATCTATAGATTGCTTTGTGCCATGTTTGTAATTCGTGCTGTGTTGAAAAGTTGCAGAAAAGAAAAAGAATACGTGGAGTCGTCTCGTTGATCTTGGCTCGAAGGATACCCTCGCTACTGTGGGGCTTAGTAAAGCTGCGATTAAAAAAAAAAAGTGTGCGAAGAGGAACTAGGAAGACGAACTAAGATCTGATAGAAAGAGAAAAGTGCCTTGCGAACATTTTACCAAGTCCCCAGTCCGAAAACTGTGCGTTCGATCCGAACACGGGCACAGAGATATCGGAGATTTGACAAGTAGCTACCACCACCATCTCTGTTTCTTACTTCTCGCAAGTTTTTTCACTTCCGAGAGAGTTAAAAAAAAAAAATACAAACGCAAGCGAACAAAAAAAGAGAAGAAACGAACGAAAAACGAAACGCATAGCAAATAAAGATTCGTTTTCCGTAAACAAAAAAAAAAAGAAAAATGGCAAGCACTAATGATCTGTTCGTACGACTTGCAGCTCCACGGTGGCTCATCCCTCGGAATTGCCACCCTCTCCTCATCAATGGGAATAAAAAGATCCTTCCTCCGAAATCGCAAACACGGGCGCCGAAGTAATCGCTACACGCGAAGAGAGAAGACGAATTTCCGACAGCCTGAAGATGGAAACGGGAGACGGGAACCGAGAGAGATGGACAAAGGAACGTGGGGGACGAAATAAGCGTGGAAGGGTACGTAGGCTGGAACGGGAAGAAACTGCGAGATTCGGGGTGGACCGAGAAGAGGAAGAGGAAGAAGAAAAGCCAAGAGAGACAATAGACTGCCGAGCACTAAAGCCTCAATTTTCGACTAGCTGAGATATATATATACATAGTCACGTGTATGTATATAAATATCTATTAAGTATAAATATATTATACGTACCGCAGTATACATACGTGAAAGAGGGAGCCTAGAGAGGAAGAAAGTAAAATACACGCGCGAAAGCGTTTATACAAAGTTTCAAAGTTAAACTAGGAGGTCCACCTATCTACACCCAAAAACGGTTCTTTTTCTATCCATACCCAGAAAATCCTTCTCTTCGTTTCCTCGTCCTTTGAATTCTGTGTGTCCTCGATAGAACAATGTGTATTGGAATTAAATCGTCCGATGAATCTATCATGTATTTTAGGAATCCTCGCGATTCTTATTCTATCTTCAGTCACAGAAGGTGGTTTCTTTAAGATGAGAGATCATCTTTTCACGTCAAATAAGCTAGCAATGGAATAGCTTACAACCAAAAATGGGATCGTCAAAATCGTGGGAACCGGACTCGGTTCTCGTTTGAAATCCATGGTTTCGAAGTCAATCGTAGCTCGCTGAATAATTAGCGATACAATTAACTCAAAAACCGCTTTCGTCCTTCCTTCGCCAAGAATCGCATCAGCCAACATGTCTCGCGAAGGAATAATCGACGCGCCTGAGAATCGATGGAATAAGACGTATAGACAGATTGTAATCGCGATCGATGGAAACGATACAGGTTTTCAATCTCCTGTCTTTATTTCATTTCGCCTTATTTATTTTTCTGCATTTTTTGCTATATCCTCGTGAGGCTCTTTTTATTTATACGTCGTACGATCGCCACTGTTTTTATGCTGCTTCTTCTCGATTTTTTTTTGAGGAGGTACAATCGTGCACAAAAGCGGAAGGAAGATAGCCTCGGTCGTTCTTTACGAATGACCTGTTCGTGATTAATAATTACGTCTAATATGTATATAACGTATTTGTCAATGGAACAACTTTTCTTCCGTCTTGATACCGATAAAGCGCGTCGCCACGCTATTATTTTTTTCATTTTTCTTTTAGATGCGTACGTTACACGTATTATAATAGAAGCGTGTAAAATAGTAAAATGAACTGAAAGTAAAAGATTATTCGTAGATGGAGCAACCGCGAGTACTCCGGTTTACCTTGTACCTGCTGAAGCGGAACAACGAGAGGAGTCGTTTTTCTCGATCGGAGAAAGTATCTTGGGATCTCGAATTTAACCGTGATCAATTGCAGAACCGTGCGCATGGGATAGGTTCCTCATGATGGATCCGTAGAATCGATCACACGCACCTTTTATTCCGATCTAAACGGATTTCGAACACGTTAAACCACCTTACAACGCGTTAGAGTTTGTAATCACCGTGTCCCATCGATGATACACGATCGAACCTCGACGAAGAAAGAAAACAAGAAACAGCGAGCGCCGAAGAAAGAAGAAGCAGTATAGAAAAACTGTAAGAGAATTGAAATTGAGGGTCGTGGATAATCGCAGACAATTTTCAAAGTTCGGTGAAAATAATCCTGACTTCAGAAAGGATGTATAGTTAAAATCTGGAATCGTATTTTTAAGGCTTTGAAGGATAGAGAGGACATTACTCTCAGTTTGGAGAGAATTTGAAAAGCCATGGATTTTCGATTGCGAGCTATTCTAACACTAGTTCGTTTTGACGTGAAAAGATGGTCTCCAATAAATGGTTTAGATGGATTAATTCCAATAAATATATCCGAGGACCGGAGAGTTCGAAGGACGAGGAAATGAAGGCGAGGATTTTCCAGATGTAAATAGAAGAAGAATCGTCCACGAGTAGTCTTTGGGTGTAGATAGATAGACTTCCTAGTTTAATTTCAAAACTTTGTATAAGCACTTTCATATGAGATCTCGCTTTGGTTTCTCCTTTTTTTCTTTTTATTTTTAGACTTGAACGATCGCTCGAATCACGGCCTCCGGAGTATATTTGCCGAATCGCGTTTCAATTAGCTAATTAGGTCTCATTATTTTATACGCGACATCATTCACGCGAACGAGATTATCGTCGTAATCCTTTTAGAAAGAGATAGAATTATCTCTCGACTCGGATCGCCAATCTCGTCTGTATTACCATGTAATATCTAACAATACATCACCGTTACGAGTCGAATTCGGGCGCACTCTGAGGCCGGACGATGACGAGCTCGCGGTGTATTCATAAATTACGTTCTGAGTGTGATTTTTAGTTTAAGGAAAAACTTAGGTAGCCAGTAGAATTTTCACGTGAATTATCTTGTAGGATATCTTTAGGTAGCGATTTAGCATAGTAGCAACAAAAAAAGAATGAAAAAAATGAAACCTCGTTTTTCATCGAGAGACGAAAGCAACGCATGTGTTCTCTTTTTTAAGCAGACTCAACTAATTTCTACTACGCAACTATCGTGACGAGATTTACTTTCTTAGACCGATCCGCTATCAGATTTGCCTCTCTACCAATCATCCCTTTCGTCGGATCGGTCTAGGAAAGTAAATCTCGTCAAGAACGATCGATTGTCTTTCAAAACCCGGGAAAAAAGGTGTGTACGCTCGAGCGAGGACTTCGAAGGGAGTAACAAATTCGCACTCGATTAACACTGTCAGTTGAAACTAAATTAAAAATATTGCAGTAATAGGAAAATAACTTGCATTTGCAATGCACGTGCAATTTTAAATCATTTAAAATGAATTAATTAGAATGGTAAACATTCACTGCTTATGCGATGTTATCATAAATCAACTTTGGTTTATGAAAATGTAATACGTAGTTCAATAAATATAGACAATTCGTTCCGATCATACAAGTAGCTAATGAATTACTTTAGATCACACTTCTTGTTGATTCATTTTGCGTAAAGAAGATGTGTGGAAGAGTTGAGTTTGTTTTCTTACTGCCGCAATATTTTCAAATTGAAATTTGCCAGATGCGTATAACCTATACATTGCGACACGGTAGCCTTCTTTCGTCGAAGTCTTCATTTTGTATAATTGACAACCGCCGATCTGATCGTGTTTCGGTTTAATTAACCGAAGCGCCTGTTCGCGTCATTCTTGTAAATATAGGTCAGTCACACCATGTACATACAACAATTACGATAGTAGCTCATTCGAATTTTTCAAATCATTCGTAAACGAAAATCACGAGCGATCGTGGCCTCGATTATACGAACATTTTCGTATCGCAAACACATAAATGGACTACCTTGATCATTGAGATCATCTCACCGCTTTCATGTAACACTGTATTCATCCACTTTCACGGGAATAATATTGATAATGTGTGCAATTCGTTGATTTTAAGGTGATCTGTGGTATAATAAGTATGATGAATTTATCTAATGAATGAATTAATTAATAATCAAGCAAGCATGCAAGGAATATAAAAAGAATATTTGGACGGAATACGAGCGTTTCTTAAACTTTGGCAAATGTTCATCCGTTTTAAATCGTTGATCACATTTTATAAATACGAAGCTGCTTTAATTATTTGTACGGGACGTTTCGCTGCTTTACGAATTCGCGAAGCTTCTCACTTTTAAAATTCGAACTTCATTTAAATGAGTTTTTAAATGTAAATGAAAACCTCCGAAATGGTTTCCTCCTAGTTTTATCGCGGACTTTCATGGCCCTACTATTCTTTAACACCGTTTCACAAGACTTCGGTCCATCCGGAAGCTGATGTACTCAGCGAATCGAAGTTGGCAGTTTTCTTGGAAAGTGCTAAATTGATTGAGAGCAAAAGGAAGGCCGGAAGGAATTCTTTATCTATTTGAGAGGTAGAACGCCACGGTCCCGTCTAAGTTTTGCAATAGTCCGAAGTTGTAATTTAATTGATCATCGGCGGAAAAGCGCGGAGGAAGGTAAAAGGCAGAACGTAGAAAGCGAAACGAAAGTGTACGTATGCATGCGAGAAAAGAACAAGAATGGAAGACGGAAGAGACACGTATGTGTGGCTCGCGTGAAATTGATGTTTCCTATTAAACGAGAAATAAAAAAAACAGATGTGTAGATGTTTACTCAACAAGATTTGTAAATATGTAGCTCACTGTAGCTGGTCAGTTGGGCATTTAAATTGTAAACGTACGTTTAATTATTTTACCTAATGTAAAATAATGAGAGTACAAGTAGTCTCCATCTTGTCGCTTTTAATTAGGTACCTATGTAAATTAGATAATGACTAGTTAAAAGCGACAAGATGGAGGTTCCTTGTATTCTTGTATACAACTCTAGCGAATATGCCTTCATTATGGAAAGTGGCTGGCAGATGATGCACCAAACAATAAAGATAACTGCAGACATGAAAAAAAAGTAAAAGAGAAATAACGTAAACTCTTGTCTCCGATTTGGCACACCATTTTTTCTTTAATTCCTACCTCAACCCACTTTTTATTTTTCTCCGTTTCGTCTTTCTTATTTTCATCCCTGATCGGACCATTTCTTTCAGGTTTTTAGTCCAGCATTACGAGTTCAATTCAGCTTTGCTTTTTCAGTCACTTTTGTTTATCCTCGGAGAGACAGAGCCAATTGGTGGAAAAATTGAATCGAGAACCATGAAACTGACAAGAGATAACGCGATCACAGTGAGCCACACGAAGTTTTAGAAAATATTTTATTCTGAAAGAGAAATGAGAATTGCGAATTAGACATCATGTGAAATTTCAATTACTCAAGATCACTATGAAAGAAATGCAAAGGGGGAATTGTAAAAAACTAATGAAAACCGAAGACCTGTCTTTTCTTTATTATTCAACAATAAAATAGGAGGCTTCCTCATCTGTCCTGATATAAATATTTTCTCGAGGACATGATTCCGAACAATCTACCGCACTTACTCTCTGAGACATACGCAAAAATATATTCGATAGTTCATTAATTTCAAAGTGATTGAAAATCTTTGCAATAGTTATAAAATAATTGGCTGGCGTGTCTCTCTGAGAATCTTACACGTGCGCAGATCAGATTATTAGTCGAACGACGAGGCAAGAGGGTCGTAGATTTTTGCATCCCTTTAATCCTAAACGAATCCAGAGAATTTCTAGGCCAAGCACTTTTCGACACTTCTGCGTGTATAATGGACGGACATAAAGCACGTTTTGAGAAGGGAGAATAGTTTATTCTGTCGCTTCGTTCACATACGAAGATTGGAAACGTGACGATCTGTCGTTAGTAACTAAGAGGCCTTAACAATATTGCGTTTACGATGTAACAACACAGATACACGAATACACATGTTGGATCAACTTAAGCATAGAATAGAACACACATGCAGGAGATAGTATTGAGCACGATCCAAGAAATTAATCAATGTAATTAAAGGAACTGGAGGGCCCCGCGACTATGCATAAGTAGAATCTACTTTCTATGTACAATCGTCACTTTCCTGTATAAATATACATATTACGCAATATGCATGTATATATACAATTTGGGAATTCAAAGGGATTATGATAAAATCGCACTGTGTAAAATATAGAGATCGTGAAGTATTTAGTTTTGGTGTTAATTGATGTGTAATGCACTATCATTACCTTGAAAGCGTAGTCGCAGGGTCCTGAAAAAAATGGTTTCAAAATGCGGATCGCTTTGTTTCATTCTGCACTGATTTAAGGACGAGATATTAAAGAAGCGTTTACTAGTTTGAAAGCGAATGCAAACGACTTATCATTGTACGTTGGTTACTTAAAAAATATTTCCAAAGTTGAAAATGCTTTTCTATCTTTTGTCTTAAAACTGTTACTAACGTAAGTGAAGTGAATTAAAATGAAAGATCGTTCAATTTTTGGGGCACTTCTCAAATTCGAAATTTAGTAAATAAAAAGACAAGGAAGCAGAATGGAGCAAAGCGAACTGATTTGTACAGACGCCGGATCAGATGTGAAATACGGGTTCTGAAGCTGAATACACGGGATAAATGTGTATATCATTTCGCACGTGCCACGTTTACAGCGTATCGAAGTTCTTCCCTGGGAATACAGTTTCTTCGCATCAGCACTGCCAATTTTATCATTGTTAGAATAAAATGAATAAGTCGTCATCATCGACCCTATTCGCTTTGCTCGTGTTTATTCCATTTTGGTCTCGTTAATAAAATCGAAGACGCCAGAAGGATTTCTCGAAAAGCGTACTTTCGATTCTCTAAATGCCCGTTTCTGATAATGATTTTTAGTTATCAGTATACGCGAATTTCTGTGCAAGATAAATTTACAAAATAAAATCTATATAGAAATTTATTTTAAGACTATTAATATGCATTTTATTTTTTGTCCTATGTCTTGAACAACTATATGCATTTTGTATAGTTTCATTAGATACATTTCTTTTTATGAATGTATAAAAACCGCAATGTAATTGTCAGTTATTATCGATGTACTCCAATCTAATTTAAGAAAGTCGAATGCTTTTCGAAGAATCTGCCTAAAGTTTCCAATAGTTTCAAATTTTTATAATAGGGCAGGTGGGCAGATTGAAAGAGAAAGTAGTTCGTCACGTGCGTGTAATATCTGTAAAAATGAAGATATTGTAGCAAGTCGATCGACAAATAGGAGTCATCGTCGATGATCGTTGTATATAACTCGACACTCTTTTAGTACTTCTAAGCATGTAAATATGAACGTTTTAACCTCGAGAGATTCGCGTACCTTGAAAGTAGTTCGAAGCCTTTTCACAATTAGCGATAAAGAAATAAATGATGATAACACGTCGATGTTCCCTTGGCACCACTTGGGGAATTACATCAAAAGAGAGAGAGAAATATACGTGTATATAAGGAAGAAGCGAGTAGACACAAACAGAGAAGAGAACCTTAAATACGTTGTTGTACATAGTAAAAATTATAAAAACTGAACGAAGAAGTCTTTAAGGTTCTAATGTTTCAACCATGTAAAAATTGTTTAAAAACTAACAATCATATAAATGTTAAAATGAACATCGAGCTGTAAAAATTTCGCTCGTTTATAAGAATTTTCCAACCTACCATTTTTCTAATGACCTATTTCCTTAATTAAACAGTTAAATCCTGAAACATAGGTTCAAAAATATTTTATTTACTGTTAAAGCAACTTCAGTTGCATTTGAAATTGTTTGACAAAACAAATACTAATTCCTAATCGTTTAACTGTTTTCCAAATTTTCTTTCCAAACAAATTGTTTCCAGATTTCTCTTTTATCATAACTTAATTTTATCCCTGCCTCTCTCTCTCTCTCTTTTTCTACACACGTGCGTATACATACGTATTAACATATAACACCGATAAATGTAAAATAAACTGAGAAATAATAATACTTTAGAGATTAGGCTCAACGATCCGGCACTTTAAAAAGATAATTTCGTACGTACGAACGGGCTACTTTTCAATCATCAACTATCTTAGTTGCACTTTCGCCGACACTTCGCAAGTCCGGTGTGAATGGAAGTGTCAATGAAACGATCATCGCTAAAGTAAACGATTATCCACGATTCGAAAGTAACTCTGACGTACGTATCGAGCGAGGATATATTTTTTTTAACAAAATACCTCGATGGCATGACAATTTTACTCGTATAATTCGTGGCTGTTAAACTCTTTTCTCACAATTCATTCATTGTATATGAAATATACATATATATATATAGCAAGTCTCGAATTCTTTAGAATGTTCGTCGAGAAAAGGGAAACGGACCGAGACGACCGAGTTTTAACGCAGAATAAAGTACAAGTGCTCGATCGTTGATCGAATTATCGTCTATTTATTGTTCTGCGTGTCCCTCGTTTTAGATATCTCGTAAATTGTAAATATATCAGTCGGCCGATGGAGTCCTCGCGTTTAAAAATGACGAAAAAGAAAAGCTCCTCTGTGATAGTACCAAATAGATAGTCCCAACCAGAACGATGTTCCGAGTTTAGCCACGAAATTAAAGTATAAACAGACTCGTTTATAATTGATAACAAAATCACAATTGTACTGCAAGTTTACCAAATCTTTACATAATTAAAAGCTGAAATTTAAATAGATTTACATAATAATGTACATATTTTAACACTTACTTTACTTTGAATATTTATTCGCAATTAAATAAATTCCATGCGTCTTTTGTGTATAAAAAAAAGTGCAAACTATTCACGATTATTAGGAAAAACCACGTTGGGACTCCTTAAGGCAAATCTTGACCTCTTCCTGCTTGTTAACCCTCGATTAAGGCAATTAACAGCGGAACGTGTACATATGCAGCGAAACCTTTTCAACGTCACGTGTACGCCAAGTGATAAACGTGTGAACGTCTTTTAGAAAACGTTTTTATTTACAAAACGTTCCATTCATCTTATCACCGTTTACCATTCGAAAGCATTCTACTTGGAACATTTTTCTGTTAAATTGTTAATAGCGAAACGTATCTGAATTTGATTGATTATAAGTGAATCAAATATTCTGCCCTAATGCACGACATGTGTAACGAATTTTCCTGTGTAAACGCAGTTACATGTAGACGTAGGGTCGTTTCCGTAGCGATGCGCACCACAGGAAATTCACGGCCAAATAGGGATACTCGTATGCCCTTTACACATACACGTGGACACACACGAGACACTTGTAAAATTTCATAGAGTCACACGGGTCACGCAGTCGTGACCCTTCTGTCAAAAGAAAATAGATAGATAGATATTAATAAAAATTGTAAAGGTTCATAGACAGTTTTTACCAGAACAAAACTCTTCAGACTGTAAAAATTCTTCCCTGAAGTAATTCGTGTAATTATTTAATTAATTAGCGGTGGAGTTTCAGTTCGTTTCTATCTCGCGTGCGGATGACATTTAACGTACGTTTCCTCTTTCTCTTCCTGACAACTTCCTCGAATATTTCGCGAAACGACGCCGATGGAAATCGACCGAGAGCTCGAGGAGAATTTGCCAAGAAATCGTCGACCGCCCCGCGAAACCTGTACGTATTATCTATTTAAAAAAAAAAAACGTTCATTCGTCAAGAAGAAGACCGACACCGTGTATAATGTATATGATAGATACTATGTCCCAACGATAGCTGGTAAGAGTTAATTAATATTTGTAGGTAAAGATATAGGAATAAACGAAGTAGAAAGGCTGATCTCCGCCGTGTAATTTTTGTATTTTTGAGAAAAGAGAGGCTGGCCGGCGACGATTTAAATATTGTACGGTGACGAGACACATTGTAAAACAGTACAACTTATTATTATTAACAATTAAATAGTAGACGACAGCGATTGTAACTACGAACTAATCATTGTAATATAAAATTCGCGGCTGGGCGACGAGAGAATATCCCGCGGACGTTGATCACGGCGATTTCCTGGCGAACTCGATTCTCGGTGGACGAATTTAAGAGAGACAAATATTTTTGAAAACTTTTCCGGGAAGATATTTTACGCGAAATTCAGAAATACGGGTGACGAAAGAAGCAAAGATTAGACGAGGTGGTAGGAGGCGGTAACGAAAATTGAATTTTCGACGGTTCGATACGAGATGAAAGCGTTTTCGGTCGAATTTCCATCTGCGTCGTCGCCAAAGCGTCGGGGGCTTCGTTCTCTTCGATATGTATGTAACTAGAAAACGCGTGATAAGACTCGAGGCCGTCGTGACGAAGACGGCGGCGTGTACTTAATAATTGTAAATAAGGGAGGAACTGTAAAGAACCGCGGAGGGAGTAACCACTAAGTAACATTATGTGTCTACGATGCCTATTGTCTGTTTAATCTAATTGTAAGCAGCGACTCCGTTACCGATCACTATTAGAGCTAATAATAATAATAATAATTAAACAACAGTTTAATCTATTTGTGTGTGTCGGTTTCGATTGGACATAGATTTTGTATCACCCCTTTTTCTCCGTGTATGGTGTGTAGCCGAAGGGTCGATTTCGGGGGTTGCGAAACCAAATCCGATTACCTCGTGACCGATTTATAGACAACTGTTTATATCGGCGAACCGTTCGAGCGATTTTTCTTTATCTCGAATAAAGTGAAAGTTTCTTTTGCAAATTCCTCCCGACCTCGTTTTTTCCGTGATCGATGACCGGCGATCGGCTATCGATTAACAAGCCCGAATATCCACCGTTTCCATCGAAATCGACCTTTTGAATTGTAGATTCAATCGTGTCTTTCACAACTTAAGTAGTATTTGTAAATCGATTCGAGCGACGAACGGACGAGTCGCGTTCATTCAAAAAATACATAGCTCGTAACTTTAAGCGTATACATATACATATACGTATATAGTAAGGAGCCGGCCGTAGACGGTATATTATCGATACTGTCGCGTCGATCCTTTAAAAGGGAAGCAGGAATTCGCACAGGCTAAGCTCGATGTACGCTTTCGATCAACGCGCGATCTTGATCGCACTCGATACTCATGGTGGCTGCAAAAAGTATTTGCACACCGCGTATAGTTAGCATTTACGTATCAATTAGTTAGTACGTTTCTTATCGCGTAATAAATATTATTCTGAGATTATAATGGTTCGGTGTCGTAAAGTGTAAAATTTGATGAGAATACGTTTCGTTTCATATTATAACTACGTACAAATACTTTTTGTAGAGACTACGTGTGTACTGCAAGGTTTATTATATGGAATGTGTCCACGCACTCGAGACCAACAAAATCTGAGAGACGTTGCTTTGATATCTTTTTCCAGCAACTGACTTGATCGAACACTTCGATCAGAAATTTAGTTACACGATTAAAAATCAGCATGTACGACGTTTCGAGATTCTATCAAAATTAATGTTCGTTTTACTGGTAGCTAGCTATAAAATTTGGATTGTAATTAAGATCCTTGGTGACGAATCAAACATGGATGGCGATGATCCACCGCGTTGATTCTTCGCGGAGTAGAGCGCGATCGATCGATGTAATTATTCGATATATGCACACTTGTCGTCGTAGGAAGTTCACAGATACAGAAAAATGATTTGTAATCGATTCCAGCCTTTGTAAGTTCAAGCGTTGTGCGTCTTTCGATTAAACGAATCAAATTATCATGAAAAACTCTGAATCAAAACGGTATGAGAAGGAACAATGGGATAGTGTGTAGATGTACACACAGGAAATATTATAATATTCAAATGAGAATAAAAGGCAACACGATTAAACATTCCTTTTGAAAATTATTTCTATTCAGACGTTCGGCATTTTTAATAACAGAATCGATTGCATAAATTACGTTTGCAAAATTGATAACATAAGAAAATATTAAATGCGACGAGAAATCGAAGAAATTAATTTAACTACTCTTGTCTTTTAAAAAATCGAGAAGATAATTGAATTTCTAGAATAAAATAGAGAATTTATTTTATAACATTCGGACAATTTTAGATTCGGAAATTTAATTGAAAATCGTAACGTTTGACGTGTTTGCCTTTGGTCGATCGATGGTGCGTGCGCGTTGGATGACAAGAATAAGCGAACGACGAATTCTAAGGATAAAACGAAATAAGATTAAATACCAGAGCATTGAAGACTGGCAATCAAAACTAACGTAGGCAGATTTTAAAACACAGATTTATTCTCGGTTGCTCGATGCGCTGACCTTGTCGACAGGCGAGGGACTTGAATGCAGAAATTATTTTCGATACGTGTCGCATTCACGAATAAATTATCCTCAAGCAATTTATTTCAAACGTTAGTTGATTCGATGAAACTTAAGGAAAAGTGAACAATAAATTAGTGTTCTCCTGAATGAAAAGAAACAATGGGACAATCTTAAACGATAATTCAGTTTTAATGACTCAATCAAAATGAACAATATAATTTGATCTGTAAAGGAACTCATTGGGAGGATCTGAAATTAATAAAACACGCGACGAAATTTGATGTCCACTGGCGATCTTGTCAAACGGGAATAAATCAGTGAAGGGAACTAAATAAATGCAATTCTATGCAACTCTCCTTCGGAAATAAAACAAAAAAATAAAATAGGTCGTACAGTTTTGCGAGTAAAGCGCGCGTCTAATGTAACGCTAGCGAGTAGATAGGTAGGTACCTGCATTTCATGAAATTTAACATGCTTGAATAGCTCCTCAATAAATCGTTATACATGTTTTGATAAAATTGTCGTCTTTTCCTTTCTCTCCAAGAACCTCTTGAAAAATGTTACGCTTCCTCGAAAGTGCTTCCACTCATATACATATCTGCGTTTACCCTCTCCGGCATTTCATTTACATTTTTATCGCGACCTTAAATGAAAACCATTACAATATCTATGTTCCGCAATGAACATTTCTCATTGGAGTGAATTATTTACGAAAAACAGGGTAATTAAATATTGTAAATTCACATTGGAAACAATAAAACAAATGATAACTTTTTAAATTCACGTCAATGCAAAAATGATAATCAGACTTAATTGTAGAATGCGAAATCGTCGTCAATGAATTTTTTTCTATTGAAAAAAAAGCGTCTCTAAAACTGGAAAATTGTGAGGAAACCGACTGACAGTTGAGACAACGACGATAAATAGTAGTCGCGATGCTGAAGAAATGGCGGCGAGGAGAGATTCTAATCAATTGGCCTGTCGGATGCCATAAGTTACGCTATTAAGAAGCTGCAGAAGAAAATAATAAGACCCAATGAAACTGTTTGCAATGCTGATTTAATGATAAAGGGAAACGGCTCTTAGATTACATGCAACCAGCCTTTTATCTTTTCTTTCTAATATTCTTACTTGCTATTACTGCCTGCTAGCTTAAATCAAAATTTTTATCAACGTGATGACACACGATTCAATCAGCCAAGGCATTTAAGGCGATTAACTAACTGTTTTGAGGTAAGTTGTTTAAATCAATGTGCCAATATACACATCATTAGTACTCGTACTCAGAATACAAAGCTGAATTACGAAAATGCTATGCAAATATGGTATTATGAAACGTGCTAAAAAGAAAGAGAGAATTTTTTGTGTAAGTCCGAAAATCAATGCAAAAAGCTGAGAGATTTGGAGGAATATTTGACTCTAACTGGTTCTAAGATTCAGGTATGTCAACCTCGTTTCACTTTCCCACAAGACCTTTTTCTCATCGAAAGGAATATGTACGTTCCGAGAACCGGAAACCGGGGTCGCGACACTCGGATGGTCCTACTTGAAAATCTACGTGGCTCGCGTACTAACAACAACGCTGATGGCGACGGATGATGTAAGCAATGTTTACAGGCAGCACCACGATAAGAACCTCACCACGCGAAAAAGGAGAGCCCGGCTTCGGCTTTCTTCAGTCTCCTTCTGGCCCTCTTTGCATTGCGTGCTCGTCACTAAGTCCGCGTGAATTGCGTGCCACGCGTGTTCGCCGGCTGTTTGATCCCCGTGCAAAAGCGAGTCGTTCGTGTCCAGACAAAATTTATTACAGTATTGCTTTGCTCGTATAAAAAAATTGTGTACATATATTTATCTCTTGTGAAATATTTCAATTTCTTTACAAAATAAAAGGTTCAATGGTGCTATTTATATTTTTCTATGATTCCGACATATAGAGAAAACCTGTCGGACATAAACTAGCTGCCTTTACGTAATTAGGATGCCGAAAGAACGTTTGTTAATCTGCGACTTTCATCGCGAGTAATATCGTGGAGTCGTCGCGAAGTATGTCGAGGCAATAACGACTGCTCGTTTGCCACTCTTACCGGGCAAGGTAATTGTGCGAACAGGTTACAACTATGTACTGTTATCGAACGATTGCTACAGAAAATACTTAACGCGTAACATGCATCGCTAACATCTACAAATGCCTGTTATTTGGCTCGTGACATAATAAAGGTCGACAATAATCAGTAACCGTAAATACCATTCCTTTTTAATGACATTACTACTTATAAATACTACGACATACGGAATCTCAGTTGGAATTCTAAAAACAGAATACTCTGAAAGTGTTGAATACCGTGTGGCATAAAAGGAGACAACCTGAAAAGGAAGTTGAACGGGACTTTTTGCATGAAGCGAGTAAATTTTTGTAGACACAGTGAAAGAACGCATCCGCAGTGAAACTTGTGCGTAAACTTTCGGTACTTACAAGTGTACAGACGTCAAACAGCGGGAACGAGTTCCGTTGCGTCAGACGTTGTCGCATGAAAATTCCGTCGCGTCATCTCGATATTCGGTCGATCGATGGAGCGTGGCTGAGAATTACAGCGGGGGACAGCGGAAAAGTGGCTCGAAAAATAGCCGGATGATCATCAGGTTTCGTTGTTTCTATTTCAGTCAGTCGGTGGAACGGAACGCGGACAGGTTGCGAGGGCCATACTCTCCGCGACTTTTCACAAACGGTTTGTCCGCAATAATTTGTATAACTTGATAAATACCGTTTCATTTATATTATTTTCTGTATAGTCTGTTTCTTTTTCTATCGATATAAATGCAGCATTCTGAAAAGATTCTAAGATATTTTTAATTAACGCGTCACACTTTGCTGGATTTTGGAAAACGACTGAAGTTTATAAATCGCAACAACAATAAAATATATTTATGAAGTTATAAAATTGTTCCGGATTCTTTTTGGACAAATCGTGTGTACCGTTTTCATTGACAAAACGAGTTCCCGCGAGACGCGCGCGCGTTCACGCAACCGCGACTGTTTACGATCAACACGTGCCGCGCGAGAATCAAGTGCACCGGCCGCCACTATCGCCAGTTATGCGGTGAACGCTTCGCGATTCGTTCGCCATCACGAAGGCGCGAAATCCTGTTCTCACTAATCCTAATAATCGTGAACGGTAAAGAAAAAAACTCAAGAAAGTGGTACAATATAAATTTAGGATTCTTTGAAGATCTAAATATATCTCACCT